CTCATTCACTCATTCATCTAGAAGACATGTATGAGGAACTGTTAACGTGTTACTCAGGACACTGCTTGGCCAGGAAAGAATCAGCTCAGTTCCTGCCTTCGAGGAATTCATTTTATGGGAATTCATCTGGCCAGGTGAGTAGTCTCACCTGAGGTGAAGATGGGGGTAACAGCACAGATTGCCTGAACCACAGAAGTTCACAGCACCAGTTTCATTATTTTGAGTGAATTATCTGGTCGGATTGGTCTTCAATTCAGGAAAAGTATCAAGCATGACAGTAAGGGTCCCAGGAAGATTTCTGTACCTCGTCTTTTATCCTCTATCTTGCCATTACCTGATACCCAAACATTCCCAGCCATCCCTTCAGTTCAAGGCTTTGAACCTGTTAAATTGTAAACAGTGCTGGGAAGGTAACACAGTAAGCATGATCAATCATTTGCATCTTAAATTGTAGGAGTCATTTCTGAGAATAGGTTAGATGAAAAAGGAGGGGAAAGTACAAAGAGAAAAAAAAATGGGTAGCATACCTTGAAAGAGTCTTTGGCAATGGAGGACATGCTAGGTGAGGCCAAGCTGGGTGAATGAGGTCTGAAGCCCCTTTGTTTCATCAGGAAAGATGATGACACTGTTATATTTGGCTTGGAGAAAGAAAGGCAGCTGTAAATGGCCATCTGCTGTGTGGAGTAAGCATGTGGAAGAAGTCAGCTTACTCAGTAGTACTTCGGAGGATAGAGCAAGAGTAACTAAGTGGGACTGATAAGCAGGTAGACTTGGAATCCGTGGAGAAGAGCACATTTTTATAATGGAAGTTGACTGAGAAATAGTCCTGTAAGACCCTGAGTCCCCTGTTCTGACAGTGCAGGGACAAGGGCTAGAGGCCTGCTGGGAATGCTCATTCTGGCCGGGGGTAGACCAGCTGACCAGCAAGCCTCTCTCTTCCAACATTAGTTTCACTGATACTCTAGCCCTGAATCCCTACAGAGGAATGAGAAGAAGGCATCACAGAAGTGGCAAAAAGTTAATAACATGGAGATCAAATGTAGTAAGAGCATACCACTCTTGCCTTTACAGCTTTTCCTACAGTTTGCCAAAATTCTCAACATACTTGTCCACACGAGATGCAGCCTGAGGTGCCAACATCACTCAACCATGCCTTGTCTTTGAACGGCTCTCCTCTATCACTCTCCCCTCTCAGGGAGTTCTTCTTTGGGTCAGTTTTCTAAGATCTGCCCATTTGGAAACTCAAACCTTCATGGCCTGTATTTGTGGTTACATTAAACCCATGTGCCCCAGTTTGTTTGTGCTTCTTATATGAGTCCAAGATTTGTTTCCTTTGGTCATAAAGGTTGTGAGGGTCTGGGGACAACTGTAATCTAAACTAGTTAGGAGTTGGCAGTTTCAGTGAGGGTGTGATTTCTACTCAATAAACCACAGTCTCATTTGGCAACTTGAAAAGCATTCACTTTTTATGTGAGTTTTTTGTTTTTGTTTTTTTTTTTTTTTACTTGCCTGGCTTTTCACACCTCTTGCCATTCAGAGAAGATAGAAGAACCCATAGGGAACACTTCTGTCCCTAGTGAAACTAGCATTGCAAGGCCCCAAGGAGGGAGATGAGGGATTGCTGGAAAAGTGTTTGTTGCCCCCTGTAAATTGATAAATAGGGGTCCTCAGCCCCCTTATACCGCTGATCAGGCTGCTGGAACAGAAGTAAAGGACGTCTTTGGAGAACATCTAGCCCAGCATGCACTTACTCCATCTGAACTCTGGCCAATTCTGGAGAAATCTCACCTCCCCAGTGGTCAATGCAGCCCTCCTCCTTCTATAAGACTGGTAATGTGAAGTTGAAGGGAGCCAGGAGGCTGTGAATAAAACTCATTTCTGAAGGGAATTCTGACTGAGCCTTCAAGGAAATAATCTGTAGGCATAGACTGATGTCTTGGGGAGCCATTGTTATATGAGCTGCAGCCTTCAGTGAGACTCACCTGGGACAAGATTCCATCTTGATCTTCTCTCTTCCAGGAGAGCACGTGCTTGCCCCACCCTTGGTGTGTATCACAGACACTCTACTTGTCTACTTTGGCTCCTGGGCTGCATATGAACTTGTGAATGGCTCCTCAGGGAGACTTATTTCCAGTCTTTTCAAACTGGTTCCATGATGGCATCTTTCCTGTCACTTCCAGGGAAGATGGATGATTGGGGGCTGGACGAAACACACCGCAAGAAGTTCAGGAACCCTCAAGAAAGACCAGAGCGAGAGGGTAAGGGGCAGGGCATGCAGAACTGACCCAAGAGCTGGCCGCTGGGGGACAAGGAAAGTGTGGTTGTCAGACACCCATGCGCCCTGAACTAGCAATACCAAAGTAAGGACCCTGTGTGGGGGACTGATCTCTACTCAGCTCCACCTGTCCCTGGAATGTGGGGCCCCCCTTGTTGTTTGCTTTCCTTCTTCAGAGGGACCTCTGTGATCAGGTCCCCTCTTTGGCAGTTCTGAAACACCTGGCATGGTAGGAAGGGGGCCTTTGACGTCAGTAGGGAGATTATCTACTCAGGTGTAGCTAATTTCCTCAATGTGAGGTTTTGTTTCTAAACCTGGGTAGGCTGCCTCACACCCCATCAATGAGTGTGTGATGTGTATGTGTGCATGCATGTGTGTATGGGGGAAAGTACACAAACCTGGGATGGACTGGAGGCGGGGGAGTGATGCTTGACCTCTCATACCACAAAGCCAAACAAAACGTGTTTAGATTGGGCTCCCCTCCTCAAACTGGTCCAGCCCACCGGACCCCACAGCTCGATGAGATGTGGGAGGGTTGCCTTTCCTAATATATAGACTTCAAGTCCTTTCTGGAGGCAGTGGTTAGGTCATGCCCTTCTTGCTCGGAGAGGATCCAGTGGTGAGTCCTCAGGACCCCTGTCAGCATAAGTGAGAAGGAGGAAAGGTCTGAAAATTTCCACAGAACCAGAAAGACAACATCTAGTATCGGGCTGTGCAGAAATTTCCTTGGAGATGGCAATAGGGTTCCCCAGTCTGTGCCCTGCGTGTATAGGGAATTAAGGGAGTTTATTGAGGTTGAAAGGCAAATTGGCCCCCTGAGGAGACAACACTTAGATGATGCTTTAAAGGCAAATGCTGGAGCGAATTTCTAATGAGAAGAGTAACTGAGGGAGGACAGGGAAGCTCCTACTACAGGATCTCTGGCTCTGGCCCTTTAAAGGAAACCTGCTGATCAAACCAGGTGGGGGAACCATGGTAGCCAGAGCCAGTCTTCCTCAGGGAGTGTAAAAAGAATCTTCTGTCAGGAAGGCCAGAGTGAGAACAAGCTGCAGAAAGAACATTTGCCTTTCCTCTCCCTCTTCCTCCATGATACCCTTTCTCAAATGGAAGACGTGTGCCAGGCATAGGGTCAGGGAATGCAAAGTGAACCTACAGCAAGAAGATGGGCAGGACGGCTCCAGGAAGTGAAGGGCTTTGGGATTAGGGATCAGTCCAACATCCGGAGTTGAGGACCAGAAACGCCACCTAATTGGAAAGAAGCTTCTTCCTACATCCCGATGATCTAGATTCCTCCAGCCAGCCCTGTGGATTTCCTCCAGGAAATCAGAAGGAACCCAGGTAAGAGGTCTTGCAGGGGAGACCTGAACCACAGAGCCCCATCACTCCCCGCAGCCAATGGACCATCTGACTTTTCAGAGGAAGAGAAAAAAAAAGAAAGGCTGATGTTTTTCTGTTTCTTCTGCTGCACTGTGGTGTCTGGGGAAGCTCATCCTAAAACAGGGAGCATTACTAAGAACTCCAAAGAGAATTTTAGATTCTGGAAGCTTCTAGTTGGAAGAGCTCATCTTAAATATATACAGGTCTTAAATAGATACATTTTAATGTATCTTAATACGTTATATCTATCTATATCTCTATAATATCTAACCTTAAATAGATACATCTTAAATAGATACAGTTCAAAGCCCTTACTGTGTAGATAAGGAAGCCATGATTTGTCCAAGGACCTGTCCAGGTGATAAAAGAGCCTGGACAGAAGTCCAGGGATCCTAACTTATAGCTCTGAGCTCTTCTTGCTCACCTGGTGATGGAACCAACTTAATCCATCAGCCCTCAAGTCCCCTTACCATGCTAGCTGCTCGCTGGGTAAGTCTTCACACTATTTGTCATCCTTTCCACAACTTTGTAACCCACAACTCTGACATCAGGATGGCTCCCAAGGCAGCACCATGTGGAGTTGACCTGTGGGAGGCTAATGCAGTGAATTTGAAAACTTTCTTCCTAGGGATCATTACCTGCTGCTTTCAAGGTGGAGGTACCTGGTCCAGGCATCTTCGCCTTTCCCCTCAGGTCCTGTACCCCTTCCTCAGACATGGCAGTAGAACTAAACCATCTGAGCTTCTACAAACATCTTAACCTCCCAGCTTAACAGCCTTTCTCTTTGGTGCCCCTCTCTTACACAGCCAACTTGGATTACTATAGACATATTCTGTGTAGCTACAGAGAGTAGATGTTTCTGGAACATTCCAGGATATTGAAGTTATCTGATCAGAGAACGACCTTTTATGGTATGTGATCTCCTTGGGTAACCTTGTGTGATATGTGATCTCATCCAAAACTGGCACCAAAGGATCTTTGGTGAACTTGATGAGAAAAGGCTATCCTATGAGGCTTGAAGGGCCAGTGGCCAGGTGTCTGCTGGAAAGCTACACCTTGGCCATGATACACCCCTTCTCTCAAACGTGTACAGTAGCTACACCTTCCTTTAAGGCTAGAGGGTGGGAAACTTTCAAGTGTACTTTCAAGTGCTAACTCTAACTAATTAGTATTGGTTGTCTGAGCAGTGGGTTAAGAAGGAGTCTGAGGCTGTTTGGGAACTTACTGGGAGAGACTGCTATCACTAATTAGCTATGTTTGCCATAGATAATGGAGAGAAAGGGGGTAGGGAAGAGGATGTAGGGAAAGGGAATATGGAAATATGCTACCAGAGGAGCTGGTGTACAATGGCCCAGAACTTTCCTTGACCTTTTATTGGGTGTCACAAATGTAATGATACACAAGTAGGTTTGGAGTGGGATTTGGGGGAGGCAACTCTTTTTTGGGGAGGGATGACAAATGAGTCTTAATAGTGGGTTCCAGATGCTCCGTATGTTGGACCTTGCAAGCGGTGTATGGATGGCATCAAACCACCTGCAAGAGACAGTAACATCTGTTCAAAATCTGAGAAAGACAACTTACAGAAAGGATTTAAGCATGGGCCAGTCCAAGTAAAGAATGATTTTCAGTAAGATGGACTAGGTCAGTTTTCCTCTTCTGAACGATGTCATACATGGTTTGGTTTGTTTAGTTCCTTTCAAAGAAAATGGACTAGGTTTCAAAATTGTATTTGGCAGGTGGGACCCTCTACAAAATCTATTTTAACCCCCTGGGATTTGAACAGTTGACTATTTCTGTATGTTTGACATCAGTAGAGGCAGGAGTACAATGGGACCCAATTCTCCAGGAGCCACATTTCTGAGCAGATACTGTGCCTCGTAACTGGGCTTTCTTTCTGTGAGTCAGTGGGAAGAAAGGCTGCTGGACCCCTGCCTTTAAAAACACAGGGTGGTGGCAGTCCTCAACAGCAAGGACCATGCCCCTGAAATGGCAGTGGGAAGCCACATGCATTGGGCTACTTAATAAGGCTCATCAGAGAAAGAGAGCCATGACTCTTACACCACGCAGTCAGGCCAAGGAGTTCCTCAGCCATTAAGTCTACCCATGGGCTACCAAGGACAGAGCCTTTCCAACCATGGGCCACAGCACACTCCAAGCTGGACCCACAGAGCCCTCACTGGCCTTCTAAGGATCCAGGTGGGCCTGGTGGGCCCTGAGTCCATGGGAGCAGGCCCTCTGGCCATAAACAACATTACCTGTTCACTGCACCATGCCACACACTGTTTTCCAGGTGTGCCATGATGTTAGGGGGAGAAAAGTTAAAGGAACCCAAGGAAGTAAGTTATTATGAACAAAATTACTCTTGGACTGTAGAACACCCAGCCCCACCTCCAAAGTGCTTAGGGATTAGTGGCCACACAGAACGGACCTTGTAATATGTAGTTCCCATAGCCCATGGAACAAGATCTCTGTCTTCAGTGGTCTGTTTTCTTCTGTCTCATTAACTGAGTTCTCCCAGCCACTCTTGCAGGATTCCTGGGTTTCTGGTTGGTTGGTCACAGATGGCCCAGCATTGTATCCCCATCTGTAAACTCCCTTTCTTTTATCCAAGTGCCACTGAAAATAATCAGCTCTTATCCTATGAACTGCAAAACCCTACTTGACTCAGCCATTACCTTTGTCAACCAATGAAAGGCTCTCACCTTTACGTCAATATTTATCAAGCATTTAACAATGACAATGAGATGTATTATTCTTAAAAATAGCTCAGACCCTGAAATAGCCAATGACTGTTCCTTATGCCGTTCAGAAACTAAAGTGTGTAGTATAATTATCCCTCAGTAATTTATTCAGCAAATACTTCTGAGTGCCTACAGAATACCAGGCTTATGCTGGGTGCTGGGGAAGCCAAGATAATGGGGCATAACCCGGGCTGCCAAGGGCCTCACCGTCCTGTGAAGGTGACAGACAAGAACCCGTAATTGACACTTGGCACGCTAAGAGTCAGCACAGGCAGTTGTGCACTGGGACAACGAGCCCTTGCTTGCTGTGGAGGGCCATGTGCCATCCGAGGGCAGTGGCCTCAGTGGAAAGGGATCTGACACGTGAGCCCTGCAAAATTATTTTCCAGAGCCTTTTGCAAGCATGGTCTCATCTTCATAACCGGATGAGGAAGACATATCCCTCCAAAATATCCACCATCATTCTGTAGATTGAGTTTGCAAGGGTTACTGATGGGGGTCTGCGTATTTCTTTCTGAGAGCCGTGCCTGGCAGTGAAAACAGCCTGTGGAAATGAGTGACTCTGGTTCCTGGCCAGAGTTACTGCCGCTTTCTTTTTCCCCACCACACCAGTGGAATATTTATTTCTAGAACATTTGACAGATGTGTTCATGATAGTCTTGAAATCGCCTTTCTCCATTAGGAAAGTCCTGAGAATCTGTCCCAAAGGTAGCAGTAAACGGCTATCATCCTTGCTTTAAGTATTTTCAAAAACGGGAAATTTGTGAATTTATCTCGTGTTCTTGGTGGCACCTGTTCCCACTTTTCCTTCTCAACTCTTGGCCAGCATGTCGGGTGAGCCTGGTGTCCTCCACTTCAGTCATACCCACGGGAGAGCTGGGACCAACCCCATGTCAGACCCTCTTTGATGCCACCTCCCCAAAGAAAGACCCAAAAAAAGCATTCAAGGGGAAGAAAAATACTTTTTGCTTTTGCTTTTTGTGGCTGGGACATCGACCCAAGGAACACACAGTAATATGGGCCCTGCCCCCACCTTCCCGGACCCGGAGCAGGGAGCCCAATCTGGGATGCTAACAGAGATGGTCCAGAGCATGAAAGGACAACCAGTCCTCCTGCCACCATTTCCAGAGCCTCAAATCAGGTGTCAGGAGACCTGGGAGCAAGTCCCAGCTGTGCCATGATTCCTAAGCCGTGTGACTCAGTTGATTTCTCAGGACACAGGAGGTAGACTGTGATCTTGTAGTTCTGTGCAGTTCTCAGTCTAGGAGGCTAATGTCAGGATATCGCTCTGCCCAGGGGTGGCTGGGGCAGCTGACACTCGGCGTGTGAGAAATGAGAAGCGACAGGCCCGCAGAGGTGCCCTTCCAGCTGGCAGAAGAGCGCTTGGGACTGGCGTTCCCTCAGAATATCCTGCCGTGTCGGATGACGCGTGCCACCCCCTCAGTCCCTGTCCCTGGCACAAAACCCATCTGCAGGGCTGTCTGCGGGCAGGCTGATGTTCCAGGTGTCTCTGAAGCTCGGGATCAGGGAGCTCCTCCAGCCGAGGGAGTTACGGCCCAGTGCCACCGCACAGGCAGGATCTAGGAAGCTTCAGAAACCATTCCGAGCCTCAGTTTTCCAGTTCGTTCAGGTAGCAATGCCCAAGTGTAATTCCCATCCACGGTTCTACGCAGCCGCTAGATCCTCAAGCTCCAGAGTACACCAGAGCCCTGAGTAGGAAGTGTTAAACCTGCGTACCTGGGGGACCACCATGTACTCCAGCTGATCGACATGGGGTGGACATGGGATCGCGCGCTGCAGCGAACCACCAAGGTGACTGGATACCGTCATTCTCAGGCCCTGCCTTGAGAAACCCTGTCCCGAGGGATGTGTGCCGTGCTCTCCCCACGTGTGGAAATCTGAAATAATAAAGTCCAGCAGAGAGCTTACTGTAGCTGATCACAGCCCTAGGAGGACCCTTAGCTGCATAGATGGGGGCTGCTCAAACTGTAACATGCCCTGGGGGAATCTGGTTGAAATACAAGCTCTGATTCGGTCGGCCTGGCTGGAACCTGAGACTCTGCATTGGTAACACGCTCCCAGATGAGCCTGGTGCTCCCAGCCCCGGGGCCACATCTTGAGTAGGAAGAACCTGGGTCAGCGGTTCTCAGCCCAAGGTGTATGTCAGAGCCATCTTTTAAATGTGACGGGCATTTAAAAACTTGAATTTTTTTAATTGGTCTGGGATAGGGTTCGGGCATCTTTTAACACACCCGGTGATTCTAACATGCAGCCAGCATCGAGGACCCCCAGCACATACACTCCCTGCCCCAAACGGAGGACAGGGCACAGGCTGACGCACAGGAGTGGCGGCCAACGAAGGTCCGCCATCCACACTGGCCAGGGCCAGCCGAGTAGGTCTTCGAGTAGTTCCCTGCTGGAGAAATAGGGCTCATCTTTCTCTTGACATGTATACGTGTCTGTGACAGTTTCTGGGGGGGAAAGGAAGTGCAAGTTTTACCAGTGGCGAGGTGGTGGGGGATGGGGAAGCTGGAGGCTTGACACAGACACAAATGCGATTCCCACCTGCTGCTTCAGAGCCGCAGCTCCTGCCTTTCCAGCTCCTACCTTTCCAGCTCCTGCCTTTCCAGCTCCTGCCTTTCCAGCTCCTACCTTTCCAGCTCCTGCTTGTGACTTTTCCCCACTCTGCCTGCTTGGCTCTCAGCGGTTGCGCACCTGGGCAGCACTAACCTGTCTTGCTCTGGCCCTGGCTAGGTGGCGGTAGGGAGCAGGCAGCCACAGCAAGCCCCAAGGCCCATGAGGGCTCGGAAGCCGGGCTCCCCAAGCCCAAGAGCGTGTTCCACATTGAGTGGTCATCCATTCGGAGGAGGAGCAAAGGTGGGTGCTGCCTTCCCTTCACTCCCAGGTCCTCAATTTACTCATCTCTAGAATGGGGACAAGTAGCAGTACCTACAGTACCTACTTCCTAGGGCATTAGGGAGAGCCACAAGAGCCAGGCTCATTCTTATCATACCCAACCTCTGACCATAGCCATGGCCCGGTTGTGGGGGCATGATGCTGGTACTGGGACAAGAAGCCAACTCAGGAGGTCTCTAATTTGACTGTGTATTGGAATCACCCGCATCCCATCCTTGGAGACACTAATCTAATTCATCTGGGGGGCAGCCTGGGTGGGCATAGGGTATTCCAAAGCTCCCCATGAGATTCTAATTTTTGCCAAACCACAAACCACCGGTCCACTTACAAGACTAGAGGTGAAATTTCTCGCCTACAGTGGTCAAGATGTCAAGGCCAAGGAAACAGCTGGAGAGCCATGGAAGGGAGGCAGCTCCCACAGCCATGAGGGAGCCAAAATGAGCAAGGAGGGAAGCGAGGGAGGAGTCAGGGGCAGAGGAGGGACGCACAAGGAGTCCTCCTCCCCAATCAGAGGCAAAAGTAGCCACGTGAAGAGCCAGGGCGGAGGAGTAATCTCATATTGCCCCTTGAGTCTCAGGGAGGGGAACTGCCTCTCCCAGAGTCACACAGCCTGCAAGGGACAAGGTCAGGGAGGACCAGTGAGTCTTTTTTACAACATCACATGCTTCCCAGAAGATGTGTCCCTGACGTTCTTGCTCCAGCTCATCTAAACCTCCTCATTTCTCACCAAAAGTGGCCAACCCAGAGAAACGGGCCTGGGGGTGTGGGAAAACATCATACAAGGGGAGAGGACATTGAGACATCTAAGGGACCCTCTGCCCACGGGTTTGTATTTGTCAGAGGTCACCGGCAGGGCAAGAAGAAAGTGTGGCTTTC